CGACCACTGGACCGGAGGGGGAGACGTCGGCCTCTGGACCGGAGGGGGAGACGTCGGCCTCTGGACTGGAGGGGGAGACGTTGGACTGGAGGGGACATCGACCTCTGGAGTGGAGGAGGCGTCGACCTCTGGAGTGGAGGGGGCATCGACCACTGGACTTGAGGTGGCGGCGTTGACCACTGGACTGGAGGTTGCGGTGTCGACCACTGGACTGGAGGTTGTGGTGTCTACCACTGGTCTGGAGGAGGAGACATCGACCACTGGACTTGAGGAGGAGACGTCGACCACTGGACTGGAGGAGGAGACGTCGACCACTGGACTGGAGGAGGAGACGTCAACCACTGGACTGGAGGCGGCGGCGTCGATCACTGGACTGGAGGCGTCGACCACTGGACTTGAGGTGGCGGCGTTGACCACTGGACTGGAGGTTGCGGTGTCGACCACTGGACTGGAGGAGGAGACGTCGACCACTGGACTGGAGGAGGAGACGTCAACCACTGGACTGGAGGCGGCGGCGGCAGCCTCTGGACCGGAGGGGGAGACGTCGACCACTGGACCGGAGGGGGAGACGTCGACCACTGGACTGGAGGAGGAGACGTCAACCACTGGACTGGAGGCGGCGGCGTCGATCACTGGACTGGAGGCGTCGACCACTGGACTTGAGGTGGCGGCGTTGACCACTGGACTGGAGGTTGCGGTGTCGACCACTGGACTGGAGGTTGTGGTGTCTACCACTGGTCTGGAGGAGGAGACATCGACCACCGGACTGGAGGAGGAGACATCGACCACCGGACTAGAGGAGGAAACGTTGACCACTGGACTGGAGGTGGCGGCGTCTGCCTCTGGACTGGAGGGGGAGACGTCGGCCTCTGGACCGGAGGGGGAGACGTCGGCCTCTGGACCGGAGGGGGAGATGTCGGCCTCTGGACCGGAGGGGGAGACGTCGGCCTCTGGACCGGAGGGGGAGACGTCGGCCTCTGGACCGGAGGGGGAGATGTCGGCCTCTGGACCGGAGGGGGAGACGTCGGCCTCTGGACTGGAGGGGGAGACGTTGGACTGGAGGGAACGTCGACCTCTGGAGTGGAGGAGGCGTCGACCTCTGGAGTGGAGGGGGCATCGACCTCTGGACTGGAGGTTGCGGTGTTGACCACTGGACTGGAGGTTGCGGTGTCTACCACTGGACTGGAGGCGGCGGCGTCGACCACTGGACTGGGGACGACGTCGACCACTGGACTGGAGGAGGAGACGTCGACCACCGGACTGGAGGAGGAAACGTCGACCACCGGACTGGAGGAGGAGACATCGACCACCAGACTGGAGGAGGAAACGTTGACCACTGGACTGGAGGCGGCTGCGTCTGCCTCTGGACTGGAGGCGGCGACGTCGACCACTGGACCGGAGGGGGAGACGTCGGCCTCTGGACCGGAGGGGGAGACGTCGGCCTCTGGACCGGAGGGGGAGATGTCAGCCTCTGGACCGGAGGGGGACACGTCGGCCTCTGGACCGGAGGGGGAGACGTCGGCCTCTGGACTGGAGGGGGAGACGTTGAACTGGAGGGGACGTCGACCTCTGGAGTGGAGGAGGCGTCGAACTCTGGAGTGGAGGAGGCGTCGAACTCTGGAGTGGAGGGGGTGTCGACCTCTGGAGTGGAGGAGGCGTCGACCTCTGGAGTGGAGGGGGCGTCGACCTCTGGAGTGGAGGAGGCGTCAACTTCAGGGCCGGAGGCGTCAACTTCAGGGCCGGAGGCGTCAACTTCAGGGCCGGAGGCGTCGACCACAGGACTGGAAGAGGCGTCGACCACAGGACTGGAAGAGGTGTCGACCACAGGACTGGAAGGGGCGTCGACTTCAGGACTGGGGGTGTCAACTTCAGGACTGAGGGCGTCGACTTCAGGACTGGGGGGCGTCGACCTCCGTCGACTTCTGGTCCGGAGGCGTCGACTTCTGGTCCGGAGGCGTCAACTTCTGGACCGGAGGCGTCGACTTCTGGACCGCCGACTTCTGGAGTGGAGGAGGAACTGCTGCAGACGTGACCGCTACCTTGGCTGGAGCCGCCGGACTGGGCTCTGACATCTGGACAGGCCGGCCCGGGGGAAGAGCCTCTTGGGTCACCGCTGGAACTGGAGATGATTGAACTGGTGGTGCCAGTAACTGGGAGAGCAGGGAGGATAGATTGTCCAGCTGGAGCTCCTGGAGACTGAGGCTCTGATGGAGTTGGGCCAGCTCAGCTCGGAGACCGGCGAGCTCTGCTGGGTGGACTGCGGGCTCGATCCTTTGGCCTAGAGACAAGGGAGCTGCTGACTGGATTGGAACCGTCTCCTGGTAATTCGGGGAGGATAGGGTGTCCAGCTGGAACTCCTGGAGGCTGACGAGCTGATGGATCTGGCCAAGGTCCGCCTGGAGGCTGGCAAGCTCTGTCTGCTGGGCTGTAGGCGTGGTCCCTCCACCTGCAGATGACGGAGGCGCTGATTGAACCGGAGACGGGACCGCTGATCAGAAAGGAGGCGGGTCCAAGCTGGCGCGCCGAGCAGGGGCAGCGGCGAGCTCGTGGCTCCGTCCTGGGACAAGGGGTGACGGTGGAGCCCGGCAACCTTCCCAACGCCGTGGGCCAGCTCCAGGGGAGCACACAGCCAGTCTGGTGCAGGAGCGGTCTAGCTGCGTCTCCTGGTCCAACCTCACATCTAGCTCCGGGAGGGTGGAGGGGATCGTCGCAGCCGGGGTTCGGTGACGGCGCCCTCGGCGAGGCAACGCCGGAGGAGGAGAAGCCGGCCGGTGGTCCGAGGTGAGGAACTGAAGCAGGCACTCCCAGGGGAGAACCTCCCCGCTGGATCCTTTAGCAGGTTGGTTCATTCTGTCACAAGCATGCTGGTGAGAGAAGCGGAGGCAGGATCCACATGCAGGTGCAAAGGCAGGCAGGCAGACAAGCAGGAACGCTGGACTACTGAAACAATGAACCAACAAGAGACACAGGACTGATGGGCTGGGAGCTTGGGTGATTGGAAAACGAGAGGCAGGTGGGAGCAGTTAACAGAGACACATGACTGAACAGAATGGGGAGACAAGACAGGATGTGACAATATCCGCCACGTTGTATCTCCGCTCTTCTGGGACCACGGCTCTGCAGACCTCCGTCACTCTCTCCTTCACCTTCTCCGAAGATTTTTCAGCCTCCCCATGGAGTCGCAGGCACCATCTCCGGCTGAAACGTTCCTGGTCATTCATTCGGGACTCGTGCTGCACACAGACAGCTGGTGTGATCAGCTCTGAAAAGCGTTGATCACAATTTGCAGATCACAGAGGTCGGCCGCGGATTCCTCTTCCGTTGGCGTTCTAGGAATCGAAATAAAAAACATTGAGCGATTCTGGGAAAAATGAACAGTTGGAACCGGTTCCAATCGATTCTCGATGCCCAACCCTACTCACAGCGCCATCTTGGCCAGTTCAGGTTAGCTCAGTGTTGGGAACGTTACTTTAAAAATGTAATTAGTTATAGTTACTGATTACTTTGTCAAAAAAATAACTCAGTTACTAACTGAGTTACAAGATTATAAAAGTAACTAATTACCAAGAAAAATAACTACTTAGATACTTTTTTCATTAAACTGCTAGAAAAATGGGTTCCCCTCAATTGAACTTACTTAATTTACTATAAATTACTACAAAAGTGAAATATAAATGACTAATGACTGGAACATAATAAAATGTATGTCCACATGTTTTTTATAAACCTGAATAATTTAAATAAATAAGCACTTAACAGGAGGAACTACTAACAGGAGCATTACACTAATCTAGTAACGGTTAAATAAATAAATAAAATCCTTTAAAATGACACTAGAAGAGGCACAAGCCTGATGGAGGACTTACATTTACTAACTTGGGTCAGACCCAACCACAGAAGAGCTGAAGCTGGGAGGTAAACACACACAGGTAGTTCTAATAACACCTGAGCTCCATGACGTCTGAGACTGATGCATCAGTGTTACAGCGGGACTAAACACATGATCAGGAACAGGTTACAGCTGGATGATCTAGGAAGGTAGAAGATCAGGACGTCTGAGCGGTGAACAGGTGAGCGGACCTTCGGGACGTCCCGCTGTCACGCTAAGAAGGGCACGGCTGCAGATCCACACCTGCAGCTGTAGATATTCATCACGTCTTTCTCGTTCTTCACGGCCGTGATGCGCTTGGATGAAAACATCTACCTCTTTAGCTCCTGATCAGCTGATGACAGCTTCAACACACTGCGCTGCTTAACGGACGCATTTCCTTATCAGTAACAGAAACGATGTATACAGAAACATATATATTGACTTATATATGTATATATATATCTATATATATATATATGTATATATATATATATATATGTCGATGGTTCTGCCACACGTAGGACGAGGGCTGAAATTGTCAAGTTCCTTGTGGGCCACAAATTTTTGAAAATCTACTTTTCTAAATGCAAACATTATAGTGTTTAATTTTTTCGTTTGTACTTCTCTAAAAAGTTAGAGCATAAAACTACATCAGCAGCCTTCTAGAGAAGATCTGTTCTAGAAACACACTTTGACAGGCCTTCCAGGGACATGACATATTTAAATATTCCATTAAGAACTATCTGAGCTAAATGCATGAAATTGCTAAACTACTAGTAAACACACCCGTGTGAACTAAATGCTGTAGTACGTCTTCTAAAGACATTCTACGGTTGTCTAGATCAAAATGTTCTCCCCAGACCAAAAACATATTTGTTAGGTTAACTGGAGACTGAAGTGTCCCTGTGATGGACGGGAGACCTGTCCAGGTGTAGCCCCGCCTCTTACCTGATGAATCTGGAGATAGACACCAGCTCCTCTGAACTAGAAATAAGTGGTTGACATCATGAGAGAGGAGGGCAGAGACACACCTGCAGAACAGACCTGCTCCTGCAGAGCAGGTTGGGTTGGATCAACCAGGTGGGTGGGGGTTGAAGAGGGTGTGGTCAAACATACTAAAGGAAGGTGAGAAGGATGTGGCAACAGTCTCGGCTGTGAGAGACAGAGAGGGACAATCAGCACTGACAGATACACTCCTGCTTCTGACTATCTGAGGACTCTGACCAAGGTAAGAGAAACAGCCAATCAGGACCAGGCAGTTATCTCCATCACAGCTGAGGTGTTAGGTATCAAATGTGTGTGGAACAGAACTGTGTGTGTGTGTGTGTAGGGGTTTGTAAATCTGCAGTCATTAGATAAGTTGTGTGTGAAACCACAACTCCCAGTCACCACCATGCCATTTACCTGAGTGGTGACTCCTCATCACACAGAAACCAGGGCTACTGGTGAGTCTGACGGAGACTCGGGCAGCTGGTCTCGTGGGTGGTGTTTCATTTGTGAAGATGTCAGGAAACAGGCTAGATTACATCTAAGACAAAAATAGCCATGATGTCACTGTGACATAAAATAATTCCTGTCTGAGACATACACACAAATACACACACACACACGCTGTGTTTCGTAATTTGGTCCCAAAGATGCAACAACTAGATCTTCCTGAGCAGATCTGAAGCACAATGTCTCGGTACTGGTTGTCTAATGATTCCTTTAAGAGGTGTCCAGCAGACAGGTGACCATAAAAGGGCATCACTGAACAAAGAAAAGCCCTTTCCATTTCATGCTGTCAGCAACAGCTACACATGATAGACAAATGTCAAAATCTGAGAAGTAATTTCTTAACACAGAAAGGTGGAGTGCTACAAGAAGATCAGAACACTGTAGCAAAAGTGATCCAAAACTTTAAGAAAGATGGAAGTGCAACCATCTTACAGAGACATCCAGACCGTCCACTTACGTTAACATCTGGACAGGAGCGTCTTCTGATGAGAAGGGTCGAAGAAAATCGCCTTGCAGGTTCACTCCAGTTAGCTAAAGCAGTAGAAAAGCCAAACTGGAGTGACCGCTTCCCGTGACACCATACGGAGCACACTGCAGAGGAATGACGTGCATGGGTATCGTCCACAAAGGAAGCCCATGCATAAAAAACATACCTAGGATTATCTAGGACCAATGCTGAAAAAGATGAAGACTACCGGGACTCTAGACTCTGGAGTGATGAGACAAAAATCACTGTTTTTGGAACTAATGGTTTCTAAGCCGTATGTTGTTGTAAAGGTGAGGATTTCTAAGAGAATGCATGGTGCCTGCAGTGAACACGGGGGCGGCAGTGTCCTTATGTGGGGCTGCATGAGTGCTGCTGGTGTTGGGGAGCTGCATTTCATTGATGGTATCATGAACTCAACATTGGTCGTCGTGCACTCTTCCAACACGACAATGATCCAAAACACACGTCTAAAGCTGCTGCTGCATTTTTGAAGACGAACAGGGTGAAGGCGATTGAATGTCCAAGTCTGTCTCCTGATCTGAACCCAATCCAACACCTGTGGGGGATTCTGAAGCGGCAGGTTGAGCATCTCTCTCCGTCCAGCATCCAGGCTCTAAAACAGGTTCTTCTTGAAGAATGGAAAACTATAGATGTTGCCATTTGTCGCCACTTTTTTCATCCTATGCCTAAAAGACTTGGTGCTGTCCTTGAAAATCACGATGGTCAGACAAAATGCTAGATGTAGTAGTCTTTCTTGTGTAGTCATTTGTACTTCAACCAGTTTTAGTAAAACTGAAGATTTTGTGATCTAAGTTATATTATTAACCTTAATTTCATGTTATGGAGTTGAACACGTGTTCAGTAAAATCAGCCTGGTGCATGGATGTAATTTTGGGGGGGGACAGGGGGGACATGTCCCCCCCACTTTTTCCAAAGTCAAGTTTTGACCCCTGCACTTTTTACCATCCAAAACCAATATTATGCTATATTAAACGGACACTGGTTGAGCTCTAGGACCAAGCGGAAAACAACCGTTTGTGTTGAAGCCGGTTTCCCATTAGAGCATACTGTAAAGATCCCCCCCCCCCCCCGTGTCCCCCCCCCCACTTCTAAAGCGAAAATGACGTCCATGGCCTGGTGAACATTCTGGAAAGTGTTCTTTTGCTCACCGAGCTGCTGATTAGGTTTGCACTTTGTAAAGGGGGTGTCAGCGCTGTGTCACATTCACACCGGGCAGCTCAACGGGTTGAGCGGGTTGTCCAGTAATCGGAAGGTTGCAGGTTCGATCCCGGCTGCGGACAGAGAATTCTGCTGTTGTGTCCGGTGGTGCCTGTAATCGGCAGCCTCGCCTCCGTCAGCACGCCCCAGGGCAGCATGTGGCTATGATGTAGCTCATCACCACCAGTGTGTGAATGGATGAATGATACACTGTAGTGTAAAGCGCTTTGGAGTCCTTACTCTGAGAGGTGCTATACAAGTGCGGGTCATTTATCATTAACATCTCTGATGGTTTGGGACATAATGACGTTTTTAATTACAGCCGCCCGTCACGTGGATGTTGGAACTCCATACATGTGAAATTTGAAGCAGGTCATTAAATTCCAGAGAAAATACTGAAACGTCAACACAAGATTGGTGGATATTTTTGAGCTGGCTAGTCCCGCCCCTCAGGCGCCTCTCTGCCTGTAAGTAACCAGACTAGTTCTCTGGTCGACAGAGGACGAGTCTGGCAGGCCAGGCTACAGCTGCTCAGCAAGAAGCAACAAACACACGATTGTATGCCCAGAGCAGAAGACTGCTGATGATCAGCTCTAACCAATATCTGATCCCGGACCTCATATGGTTCTGTTTCATTCTCAGCCGTTCCACGTGGGACATAGACTCTTCTCCCGTTATTCTGGTATTTTGCTACACCTGAGGTTAAAGTGACAGAAGACTGAGTTACAGGTCTGTCGCCTCATTTCAGATATTGGTTTCACTGTCATCAGACCATATACTGACCAAGCCAGAATATCCTGAAAAACTCCTTGTGTGTGTGTGTGTGTGTGTGTGTGTCGTAAGGACACAAATCAGGTGTAGTTCAGGCTTGAGCTGGATTTATTATTATTTTCTCCCCATGTCCTGTCTGGCTGTGAAGCAAACAGAATTGATGTCTGAATGCTGGTGACAAGCCTTACAGATTTACTCTCAGGTGGAGCATCAAAGCGTTTGCTTTTAATGTCACACCTGATACTTAAAACACCGCACTCCACACCAGGTGTGGCAGGGGGAGGACAGGCGAAAATGTATAGTAGCACAAGAAGTCCGAGAAGAGGGGAGGAGTCCAAGACCCCACCTGACATATACAGTCATAAACAGACACAGTCACACACTCCCTCCCTCATGCTCACACATACACATACAACCAAAGACTTACAAAAATGCACGCCGGACACCCACTCACGCTCCCCATACACACCCTATTCACTCTGGTCCCGGTACTGCTGCACATGGATTATAACCAACACCGGTTCCCAGAGTCCACCCCTTTCTGTGGGGGTGATGATGAGCAGGTACCCCCGCCCAACGCTGAGCAAAGCATCCCACCACCCTAGACCCCAACATGACGGCCAACTCCCCCTCCTAGCCTCCAGCCCTGGGAAGCCAAGCGACAACGGCGGTGTGCTAAGACCCCTAGTCTCCCTCCACCTGCTCCAATGTAGTGTTGGTGCGTGTTGATGAGATGTATTCCATGGCTGTGGTGAGCGGGCAGTGCAGGCATCGTCTGGCTTACGCCAGCTGATGCAACCACACAACCCCACCTCCCCCTACAGTTCTCAGTGTCTAAGTGCAGTTTAAAATTGGAAGTGGGCACCGGCTCTCGGGATGAGGCTGAAAAATCCCCCTGCAAAATGCCGTTGAATGTGCTCACTCCTAAGGCCCTAAGTGTGTGTTTGTGTGGAATGTCGTCGGTGGAAGTGTTTAATGTGCAAATAAAATTGGGGGGCAGGTTGCCACAGGAATGCGGAAATGGGATCCATACCCACACCTCTGACTTCCCCACCCCCCAAGGTCCTAGGTGCATGATTGTGTATGGATATGTGAGCTGGATTTGTTTTGTGAGGAATGACCTTTAACAGTCATGAACATCAGAATAATGATCATGGTGCATGGAGAGACCTCAGAAAGATCACTGGACACAGTGGGGAGAGTGGTGCCAGGGAATCTGCTGAAAGGGACCAGAATTGGGCCGCCAAGTTTAACCTGATTAACAGATTCGACATCCTCCACACACACACACTGCTTCAATAGGTACCACCAACACCACCTCCCCCAACCACTTCCAAATGTCATACCAGTCAACAGCTTCTCCCACCACCACCACCAACCCTCCTCAGCAGCCATAATGGTTTCAAAACAGAAACAGATTAACATCAGAAAAATTAAAGTCATATAATCATAACATTTTATAAACAGATGAAAGTTGATTACAAATTTGAGTTAAAAATAAGAAAATAAAAAGTTTAGGTAAAAGCAGCTTTAAATAAAAGGATCTCTCAGGGGCAATGATCAGACATTCAGTCTTTTCAGAGTTTAACTGAAGGAAGTTATCTTCTAGCCAGCTGGCGATCGCTGATAGACACTCTAGTAATTCAGACAGTTTGTAGAGCTCAGAATCCTTAAAGGGACTTTATGGAGTTTTGAATTTTTATGCTCGCGATTGCCCCCTCAGGCCAAAAGCATAACGGCAGCTTCAATAGTAGGCTCGTGCACGAGGCGCGCATGTTGTACGTGCACACTCTTTAACAAAAATAACAGCTGAGACAGTCCCGTGTGTGTGTGTGTGTGTGTGTGTGTGTGTGTGTGTGTGTGTGTGTGTGTGTGTGTGTGTGTGTGGGTGGCCCGGAGGACAGGAGAACGCACAGCTAATTAATTAAATGATTTGGTTCTGTACCTTTCTCTTCAGCACAGCCGACAAAGGTTTAAGATGGGTCAGTCCTCCTGCATGCTCAGATCATTCCCTTCCCTTGCTTGAAAAATTGTTCGAAAATGAAAGTTGAACCCACGTCTTTTTTATCTGTGAATTCAATGCCGTTCGGTGAGTCTCAAATAAAAATTTGGGCATCTTACCGTAAAAAAAAAAATACCATTAATGTAAAAAAAATAAACTCTAAATAAACTATGTTCACATCCAGAATCAAACCTGGGTCTTCTGCTTCAGAGTCCGACGTCTTACTACGTGAGCTAAAGCGCCAGTAATGTCTTCTGTATCTGTAACTTTTATATCCTTGATGACAGCTGAAACAACGTTCAAAGGACGGTTCAGAGCGAAAATGGCTATTTTGTTGCTAACTTACAGGAAATATCTAGAAGAAAGTTCTACAGAAAGTAGCTAAGGGTCCTCAGAAATGTAGCTAGCTTTGTCACTAGGCGTTAGGAACAGCGACAAAGTGGCACTGCCTCTCTCTCTGCTGCTAAAGCTACGGATAGCAAATGCTACGGGCTATGCCTGAGCGTGAACGCGCATGAAGCAGCCTGCTCGACCCGAGCATCTCTCTTTTTCTGTGATTTTACAGAAAAACAGGCAATCACAGTAAAAATGCCAGGGCTCATTGTACAGGACCAGGGCATTGCAGGAGAATGTATGAAGAAGACATTTATTATTTCTATACATGCTTTGGCTGTCAAACTTCCATAATGTCCCTTTAAATGAGCAGTACAGCTGAATATCATCTGCATAGAAGCAATAATAGACATTATGAAAAGAATCAAGTATCTGTCCAAGAGGGTGTATGTACAGCAGAAACAACAGTGGACCCACAGTTGCACATCATTCAATAATAATTTGGCTGAATGAACAAATGTTAAATGAATACTAATATTAACGTTTGAATAATTATTTAACTTACGATTTGTAAAAGTTCTTCTTTCATGAGAGAGAGAGCAATCCTGCGGTCTTATCAAAAGAAGGCTTTGTTTGGGAACATAGGCTGGCATCTTGTTCCCCCTGAAATGTCAACAAGGACTGAATCTATGGACTTAGAAGACAGGATAGAAACTCCTCTCAGATAGTGGAATTAGGTCTGTAGGTGACCGGACCTTGTGTAGGCCAATATGTAGGTGAAAACTGACCATTTCTGGACGTTACATCTGTGTCCCTTACAGTATGCTGCATAGTTCTGGAACCACAAGTTTCCTTTTTATTTGTTGTTTTAGTGGATGAAGGTTACAATAATAGCTTTTGCCTTTTTAGTTATAATCTTTATTTTCTCCCTTTTTAAGGGTGTGTGCTGCTGTAACGAGTGACTTTCCCAGCTGTAGGATTAATAAAGTCTATTCTATTCTATTCTATTGCCATACACCAAACCAAAACATTTGCTGAGAAGGGACCAAATAAAGTGTCTTCCTGTGTCTCTGCCAGTTTTCTCATCCTGATGGGGGATGGCGCTGCCGACTTCCTGTCTGTCTGAAGATCAGTTCACCTGCTCCATCTGTCTGGAGGTGTTCAACAACCCAGTCTCAACACCATGCGGCCACAGCTTCTGCCAGTCCTGCATCTGTTCCTATTGGGATGGAGGAACTGGAGGACGGGGGGCAAAGTCCTACCAGTGTCCCCTCTGCAAAGAGTCCTTCCAGACACGTCCTGAACTCCATATCAACCGGACCCTAAAAGAAATCACTGAGCAGTTCAAGCAGATGTCATCAGGAAGAGTGATGGGGGGCGAGCCTCCTAATCCACACCCCCAGTTAAACCTGTTTGCACCTACCAGACCGAGGGACATGCCAGGGACTGTGTTTGTTGAGATGATGGCTCGTTTCCAGCAGCTGAACAGTCCTGGGTCTCCACATGCTGTCTTCGCCGGTCCCACTGACAACAATGGCTACCCTGAGGCCCCACCATCATACTTTCAGAGGTGGGTAGAGTAAATAGTGCAGTGGTAAGAGCAGCATTACTTTAAATGTACAATAATTAAGGATTTTACAGTGAAATAATCACAAAACCGTCTAACGTCTCAGTCATAGAAGGAAGGCTCAGCCGGCTGGGGATTTGTCACTTTTTCTCTGTAGAAAAATAAACAAAAGAAGGATATAGGCTTTGTTTACGACTGAGGTTGCTGAGTGTGCGTCGAGCTAACACTGTAATGCCAGCATTTGTAATTCAACACCAACAGGCAAAAAGCTCCAGAGTTGTTTAAAAAACAGAAGCCAGTAAACAGAAACAACCCAGAAGGTATTTCTTGTACTTCTAAGAAACCACGGCATCTTTTGTCTTACTCTAATATCGGGTGAAGCAGGCTAGATGCTAACATTGAGCTAACAATGCTAACGGTGAATTAGAAACAGATCATTAGATCTAAACAACTCAATATTCCAGTGTGTGAAGTGAATAATGAGTCAACCGTATTTTGCTTCCTTTAACTTGCTTTTACACGACCTTCATCATCACCCTCTCCTGCAGTGGAGATCAGCCAGGCTAATGATGAGATGCATATAGAAAATAAATCCTGGACCGTGTACAATAATAATAATAATAATAATATGTGGTGTTGCTCACCTTATGTGCTCTTATAGAATATTAACATGTGCCTGCATCATGGTGTAGCTTCCATATTTTGCTGAGTGTCCTACAATAATGCAGGTTATTAATTCATTTACTTTTGATAGCAAAGAACAAAATATTTAATGTAAAAGTTATTTACCAGGTGAATTAGCTCACACGTCACCAAGTGTCGCAGGGCCAGAATCAGTCGCCTCCTTCATGATGTCATGATGTAATCTAGCTCCAAGCTCACAGCAGCAACACACGTGTAGCAATAAGCTATGAAGCAAAAACATAGATGATGTTAAAACACAAAGGCTGTAATGAAGATAACATGATGATTGAAAACAACTCACCTTTACTACACCTGCAAGGCTTCATGTTAGTCTGGACCATTTGTAGCTCCAACAATCAGTCTGACAGCAGATTTCTTGGGTTCATTTAGCCTGAAAAAAAAAAAGATTATATGTAACATCACAGTGTTGTGGGAGGAAGCTTCCAGAGATGAGAAACATGGAAAGCAGAGCAAGCATGGAGCTACAGGTTTTTCTGTTAGATCAGGAGGCCCTGAGGTAAAACGGGAGGTTAGTGTGAGTCTGGGAAGCTACTCCTCTCCAGTGGTGACCTGCCAGGCTAAGTGAGAAAAAAACTGAATACAGAGTACAGTATTATTATTTATAACATTGTTTACCTAGAACAGCTCAGAGCTTGTCCTGTCATTCAGATGGAAGCTGCTCAGAAGCTCTCCATCACACCTGGGTCTGTTCAGGAGTGTAGAAGCTGCTCTGGGCGGAGTTCCCATCATGGTCCCAGTGTCAGACACACAGCTGCTGGGAGGCTATGTGAAATATAAAGAAACAGCAAATATATTTATAGTTGTTTTTAAGTGCAGCAACACACGCGTGTAAATACGCTAAAATAATTACATGTTAAAACTAGAAGGTAAAGAAAGACAGACGGTTAAAAATAACTCACCTGCAAGGCTTTAGCCTGGACCGTTTAGTTTAACTTAGATCATGTACAAAACAAACTGTCTAATATATGTGCTTTATTACACGGCTGGTGAGTGATCTGACTGCTCTCAGAGCTAACTCAGGGTCCAGAATCAGACATGAACATGTTCTAATGAGAACCGGGTAAGCACCAGTTCAGAACCGGGTCCGTGTGAAGTGATATTAGATAAACCTAAGACCCATGTCTCTCTTACTTTGCAGCTATAAATATAGCATTTATAGCTGCAAAATTACAGGTAGGGAACGATATTTAGAAGCTGTTAAAAGTAATTATTTTGCTTATTCACCTCAGATTGGGCCCAAAATCTCCGTTTTGGGGAAGCAGCAGTCGGAAGGATCCGGCTAATTACTGGAACGGCTTGGACTAATTTGTGAAACGCTCTTCAAACCAGCATAACCGGTTCAAAGTTGGTGAAAGAGTCACATATAAAAAACCCTAAACTACAATATCTAGCAACCAAGCTACTGGAACTAAATAATTATAATACTAGAAGCTTTGCTGGGACTCTTGACTCAGTGCTAATGCTAACTAAAGCATAACTCACTTGTGGCTAATCCAAGTTCGACTGCTACAAGGCTGGCTGAGACCACGGTGCTTTTATAACCTATAGCCACAGAGCTGCTACGTAGTACTTTTCTTGGCTACGTAGCACCTTTCTCGTTAGCCATTGGCTAACGTGAATTCAAGCCGGCACAAAATACATGTGTTCTATAAATTTGAGCTGAAGAGGGTGCTAGACTGACTGTCTGCAACACTTTTAGACACTCATTTATACAAGTTATAAGCAAATAATAAAGTTGATTTTGGTGTGACTTGCTCTTTAATAACTGCAGATATTTCTAAAATTTTGTGTTTTTCTGTTAATATGACATGCTGTGTGTCCATTAATGGGGAAAAATGATTTAATCGTCTTCCTCCGCTTATCCGGGTCGCGGGGGCAGCATCCCAACTAGGGAGCTCCAGACTGTCCTCTCCCCGGCCACCTCCACCAGCTCCTCTGGCAGGATCCCAAGGCGTTCCCGGACCAGATTGGAGATGTAACCTCTCCAAAGTGTACTGGGTCAACCCGGGGGCCTCCTGCCGGCAGGACATGCCTGAAACACCTCCCCAGGGAGGCGTCCAGGAGGCACCCTGACCAGATGCCCAAACCACCTCAACTGACTCCTTTCGATCCGGAGGAGCAGCGGTTCTACTCCGAGTCCCTCCCGAATGTCCGAGCTCCTCACCCTATCTCTAAGGCTGAGCCCGGCCACCCTACAGAGGAAACTCATTTCAGCCGCTTGTATCCGCGATCTCGTTCTTTCGGTCATTACCCAAAGCTCATGACCATAGGTGAGGATTGGGACGTAGATCGACCGGTAAATCGAGAGCCTGGCTTTCTGGCTCAGCTCCCTCTTCCCCACGACAGATCGGTTCAGCGTCCGCATCACTGCAGAAGCTGAACCAATCCGCCTGTCGATCTCACGATCCCTCTTACCCTCACTCGTGAACAAGACCCAGAGATACTTAAACTCCTCCACTTGAGGTAGGACCTCTCCCCCGACCAGGAGTTGACAAGCCACCCTTTTCCAGTCGAGAACCATGGTCTCAGATTTTGAGGTGCTGATCCTCATCCCAGCCGCTTCACACTCGGCTGCGAACCTACCCAGCAAGAGCTGAAGGTCAGAGCTGGATGAAGCTAGGAGGACCACATCATCCGCAAAATGCAGAGACGAGATTCTCCTGCCACCAAACGCGACACACTCCACACCACGGCTGCATCTAGAAATTCTGTCCATAAAGGTAATGAACAGAACCGGTGACAAAGGGCAGCCCTGGCGGAGTCCAACCCTCACCGGGAACAGGTCCGACTTACTACCGGCTATGCTGACCAAACTCACGCTCCTCTGGTAAAGGGACTGAATGGCCCTTTACAGAAAGCCACCCACCCCATACTCCTGGAGCGTCACCCACAGGGTGCCCCTGGGGACACGGTCATAAGCCTTCTCCAAATCCACAAAACACATGTGGATTGGTTGGGCAAACTCCCATGCCCCCTCCATCACCCTTGCAAGGGTATAGAGTGGGGCTGCACAATATATCGCAACTATATCGTTATCGCGATATCAGCATGCATATCACAAAGAACAGATAAATATCGTAATGAATTGTCAGCTCAAATGTTTGATACACATAATGCATTCTGACAATAAAATGGAAGCATGATGTTTTTTTTAACAAATCAAATAGAGCTCTTCACCCATTTGGCCAACTGGGTGGGTTTTTTTAGGTTAGATGCCCGCCCCCGAGGCGGACGGCACTTCATTTTGATGGTTAGCGAACACCTGAATTAGCTTTGTTCTGCTCTTTATGATGATTCTGCTTTTCCCAGGATCCACTGATTGCCTTTTCTTGTTCATTTTCTTTTTCCTTTTCCTCACAGATGTTTCTTTTGTCATTTTTATGATTTTTTTTGTCATTTTTTTATTTCTTTGTTTTTGATTAGTTTTATTTCTGAGTTAAGTTTTTTATTTATTGCAAGTAATATCGTCATCGCAATATTAATCACTGTTATCGCATATCGCAGGTTTTCCTAATATCGTGCAGTCCTAGTATAGAGCTGGTCCACAGTTCCACGGCCAGGACGAAAACCACATTAATCCTCCTCAATCTGAGATTCAACTATCGATCGGACCCCCCTCTCCAGTACCTTGGAGTAGACCTTTCCAGGGAGGCTGAGGAGTGTGATCCCCCTATAGTTGGAACACACCCTCCGGTCACCCTTCTTAAAGATGGGGACCACCACCCGGTCTACCACTCCACAGGAACTGCCCCCCGATGGCCACGCAATGTTGCAGAGACGTGTCAACCATGACAGACCTACAACATCCATAGCCTTGAGATACCCAGGACAAATCTCTTCTGCCCCCGGGCTTCGCCGCTGTGTAGTTGTTTGACTACCTCAGCAACTTCTGCCCCAGAGATTGGACAGTCCATCCCCAGATTTCCCGGCTCTGGTTCCTCCTCGGAATGTGCGTAGGTGGGATTGAGGAGCTCCTCAAAGTATTCCTTCCATCGTCCGACTATAGCCCCAGTTGACGTCAGCAGCTCCCCATCCCCACTGAAAACAGTGTGAGCGAGTTGCTGCCTTCCTCTCCTGAGGCGCCGGACAGTTTGCCAGAACCTCTTTGGAGCCGATCGATAGTCTTTCTCCATGGCCTCACCAAACTCCTCCCACGTCCGAGATTTTGCTTCGGCAACTGCCACTGCTGCACTCCGCTTGGCTATCCGGTACCTGTCTGCTGCCTCTGGAGACTCACAGACCAGCCACGCCCTGTAGGCCTCCTTCTTCAGCCTGACTGTTCCCCGAACCTCTGGTGTCCACCAGCGGGTACGGGGGTTGCCACCATGACTGGCACCGGCCACCTTGCGACTACAGCTAACAACAGCCGCCTCAACAATCGCAGAGTGGAACAAGGCCCACTCGGAGTCAATGTCCCCACTGCTCTCGGGACCTGGTCAAAGCTCTGCCGGAGGTGGGAGTTGAAGACCGTCTTGACAGGTTCTTCTGCCAGGCGTTCCCAGCAGACCCTTACTATGCTTTTGGGTCTACCAGGTCTACGCGGCACCTTCCCCTGTCATCTGATCCAACTCACCACCAGGTGGTGATCAGTTGACAGCTCCGCTCCTCTCATCACTCGGGTGTCCAAAACATACGGCCGCAGGTCAGATGATACGACTACAAAATCTATCATCGACCTGTGACCTAGGCTGCCCTGGTACCAAGTGTACCGATGGGCATCCTTATGTTCGAACATGGTGTTCGTTATGGCCAAACTGCGGCTTGCACAGAAGTCCAATAACAATACACCACTCAAGTTCAGATCAGGCGAGCCATTCCTCCCAATCACACCCCTCCAGGTCATGCTGTCATTGCCCACGTGAGCATTGACGTCCCCCAGCAGGACAATGGAGTCCCCTGATGGAGCACTATCTAGCACTCGTCCCAGGGACTCCAAAAAGGGTGGGTGCTCTGAACTGATATTTGGCCCATAAGCACAAACAACAGTCAGGACCTGTTCCCCAACACGAAGGCTCAGGGAAGCTACCCACTCGTCCCCTGGGGCAAACCCCAACACACAGGCAGAGAGTCTTGGGGCTAACAAAAAGCCAACCCCAGCCCTCCGCCTCTCACCCGGAGCAACTTCAGCAAAGGAGAGTGTCCAACCCCTCTCAAGGACTTGGGTCCCAGAGCCAATGCTATGTGTCGAGGTGAGTCCGACTATATCTAGCCGGTACTGCTCAACCTCTGTCACAAGCTCCTGCTCCTTCCCCGCCACCGCCAATGGCTCCGGCCTTGGTCTGCCACCCGATCCACACCGCACCGGACCCTTCATGTTCCTCCGGCGGGTGGTGGTCCACAGTTGGATGAGCCCATGTATCCGGTTCGGGCTGGGCCCGGCCAGGCCCCATGGGTGAAAACCCGGCCACCAGTCGCTCGCTCACGGGCCCCAACCCCAGTCCTGGCTCCAGGGTGGGACCCCGGTAACCCTCCGGGCCGGGAACTCCAACTCTTTGATTGTATATCCATGAAAGATCCTTGGAACCGTTCTTTGTCTCACCCTTCACCTAAGACCAATTTGTCATGGGAGACCCTACCAGGGGCACAAAGTGCCCCAGACAACATAGCTCCTAGGATAATTGGGGCACTCAAACTCCTCCACCACGATAAAGTGACGGTTCAAGGAGGAGATAATTTAATTGATTTTATCAAATGGCTGCTACATAACCGAGTGAAAAATTGATGGGGGTCTGAATACTTTCCATGCCCACTGTAGGGTACATACAGATCAAGGTTGTTTTCTGATCCCGTTTGATATGTGATGTCACATCTGATGTTCACAAATCTTATGGACACATTTTGATGCCAACAACGCACCTATTTAAGACAGGTGGAAAAAGTTACTTTAGGGTTTTGTGTGAAAACACAGAAAGGACTACAACTGCACGTCTCATCAAAGTGACATCATCAAGACGAAGAAGGGCTGCAAGTAAAAAAATCTAGTTACATTTTTCCAGTTCTCTACTTGAAGATTTAGAAATGGATGAATGGAAAGTGATTTAAAATTTTACCAGAGCCTTTATGTCTCTCACTTTCATGTGACTCGATTGACTTGCAAACAGGGGCAAGTCATTTACAGCAACACATAAAGCACATTGGATTGTTTTCAGCTTCTGTAACAAAACTGACCCCAGACTCTTGGTTTTCCTGATCTGGATCCAGTGTGAGCGACCCTGCCGAGGTCCCCCCAAACCTGCTTCCGTGTCCCACCCACCAGCGAGGTCTGGAGTTCTTCTGTCGCACTGACAGCATGTGTGTGTGCAGCGGGTGCTTGGAGACAGCAGAGCACCACGGACACGACCTGGTGTCCGCCATGAGGGAGTGGAACATCAAGAAGGTGTGTGTGTAGGAAGTGGGAGGAGGTGGTGGTACCTTGCTTGAGGTCTTTGTCTAGATGAGTTGAGTAGGATGTCATGGTCTGTTATGATCACTGCTCAGATGATCATTGGTTATTGCTGATGAACCCTAATAGTCGTGTCATCTGCATTTTGTAACTGATCCACTTCATTAGACAGGAACCTGGTTTGAAAAGCCTCTCTGTGCCGGTGAAGGTGCCGGTATGACTTGTTGAGATGATCAGTTATAATTTTAACAGTTGTCTTCCAGGCCCATTTAGGCTTCACAGAGGTGGAGCTGAAGGACCTCATCAGTGAGCGAGAGACAAAAGTGGAGGAGATCCACAACGCCGTACGAGACCTGAGGGTGAGTCTTCAGAGCAGCGCTTTAAGAGGAGAGACAGGAGCGTGGGACTGAAACATGGGTGGTTTTTCTACATAATCAGACCCTTTTAGAGGTGAATAATAATAGGCTCCTCCCATTTACATGGCAGGTCCAATGAATCAACCTAAACACAAATTATCTAAAAAATTTGTGTAAAACAAAAAGGAAGTGGTTTGGCAAACAAAAACTCACAAATCAGGAACAAATAATCCACTGCCTGTCCAAAAAAGGTCTCCACCTGGATCTAAGTAAGCAAACAGGTAGGAGCCTCCTGTTGGATAATTACTGCAACAAGTTATTTAACCCAACAGGTGCATCTCATTTATTAAAGAAACCAGGTGGAAAGTCACAACTGGTGGTCATGGAAAAGATGTTAGTCTGCGTGAGAAGGGTCAGATCATCGGCATCAAGCAGAGAGAACATCTGAGATGCAGAAACAACTAAAACTGGGTTCAGAGCTGTCCAACGCTTTACTAAAACTGGTCTGATGAGTCCAGATGGACCCTGTTTCACAGTGATGGTGCATCAGGGAAAGAAGAGAGGCAGATGAAGTGATGCTCCCATCATGCCTAGTGGCTTCTGTTCAAGCCTGTGGGGGCAGTGCTATGATCTGGGCTTGCCTCAGTTGGTCAGGTCTAGGTTCAGCAACAGGATGTGCTCCAAGAATGAGGTCAGCTGACTACCTGAATATCCTGAATGACCACGTTATTCCATCTTCCCTGATGGCACGGGCATATTCCCAGAGGACGATGCCACGATTCATCGGGCTCAGATAGTGAAAGAATGGTTCAGGGAACATGAGACATCCAGACCGAGTCCAGACCTTAACCCCGTTGAGAATCTTTGGGATGCAGTGGTCAGACTCTACTGTCATCAGTGCCAGATCTTGGTGAAACATTGATGCAACATGGACGGAAATAAATCTGATAACACTGGAGAAGCTTATGGAAACAACGCCACAGCAAATGTGAGTCCTAATCACGACTAAAGGTGGTCCGACGACATATTAGAGTGTGTGAGCTTTTTTCCTTTGGTCAGACGGTGTTGTAGATAATTGATGCTTAAAATGAATTTCTGTGAGTGATTTTAGACACAAAAGCAGCAGGATGTGAGACATTTTAAAGAGCTGCGATAGGAAAACAAAACATGTTATCAGTGCATATTTTATACGGTTCAATTGTTTTGTCATTCCTGAATTTCTGTGATGAGATTCAGGAAAACATGGAGCGCAGCACACTAACTGGCAATGAGACTAGTTCATATGGCCGGATGTTTAAATCTGTGGCTCTGAAACATCCCAGAGGTAACGGGACAAGTAACACCTAAATGCACCTTTCTGCTGATAACCTCTACAGATGAGTGTCCAATAGTGCTGTACACATGTGTAATCATTATTTTTGGCCGTTGAGTGCGACTTACTTTAAATGTAATATTTCAGCCCAAACCGGTTAAAACTGATTTAGCCACAGCCTGATGGCTGTCGCGCTGCAGGGGGACGTTGTCTGTACCGTACTACAGCTGTGGCCAAAAGTTTAGAGAATGACACGAATATGGGAAGTTGGAAAAGTTTCTGCTTAAGCTTTTATAATAGCAGTTTGCATATACTCCAGAATGTTATGAAGAGTGAATTGTAGAGTCCTTCTTTGCCATGGAAATTAACTTAATCCCAAAAAAAATTTTCCACTGCATTTTATTGCTGTCATTAAAGGACCTGCTGAGATCAAGTCAGTAATCATCCTGTTAACTCAGGTGAGAATGTTGTCGAGCTCAAGGCTGGAGGTCATTATGTCAGGCTGATTGGGGTAGAATGGTAGACTTGACAAGCTAAAAGGAGGGTGACGCTTGAAATCATTGTTCTTCCATGGGTAACCATGGTGACCTGCAAAGAAACGCGTGCAGCCGTCATTGTATTGCATAAAAATGGCTTCACATGCAAGGATATTGTGACTACTAAGATTGCACCTAAATCAACAATTCATAGGATCATCAAGAACTTCAAATAAAGAGGTTGCATCCAAGAAAGTCCAGCAAGCGCCAGGATCGTCTCCTAACGAGGATTCAGTTGTGGGATCAGAGTGCCAGTGCATAGCTTGCTCAGGAATGGCAGCAGGCAGGTGTGAGTGCATCTGCACGCACAGTGAGGTGAAGACTTTTG